ATAATAGAAGGAATGAGTTTGACTTTCAATAAAGTGTTTGACTGTACAGGATAGAAGATTTCAGGTTGTCACAGCTTGAATATACACTCTCCTCGGCATCTTTCGTAATTCTACATTTCTTGATATTATGAATTTTTAGATGATTGTATTTTGATACTTATGGTTTTCTTGACTTGGTTTTTTAGGAAACAATGTTTTATTTAAATTAAAAATGAATATTTGGTAATGATTATGGGACGTTACAATATATATATATATATATATATATATATATATATATATATATATATATATATATATATATAGGGCTTGGGGAATATGTGGTTGTTATGTTACTAATATTAGGTACAGAACCATCACAAACTAGAAACTTTTAACAAAATTCAATCAAATATCTCTACCATATTTCTTTTGTCCTCTATTAGAGCTTATGTTAGGCATTGTATATATATCTTTTATGGAGTTTTATAAGTTTAATTTTGCACCACAACCCATTTATAAGAATATTTTACCAAATACATGTAGTTCAGTATATTGCAATTTATTACAGAAAACTATTGTGAAAGATTGAAATTGTTCATTAAAACGCTGATAAATCTCTTCCCATAATCCATCAAAAAAACAATGCAAGTATACATAACATAGGTGTCAGAGGAAGTTTTGAAGCTTTTACTAGAGGTCTAATAAAAAACACATTCGAAATACATAGATGTTGAAAATGAATTCCAAAATAAAAAATAATTTTAGTTCAAAATCAATAGTAAGAAGCTAACGGTGAAAGAAAATTGTGTTTGTTAATCAAAATGAAGTCAATTTAGATGGTTCTATACTTGATATTACATACATGACAACCACATATTCACTTTCCCCATATATATATATATATATATATATATATATATATATATATATATATATATATATATATATATATATATATATATATATATATATATATAGGCAGACTGTAACATCCCAAAAATTTAAACAAATTTAAACCTTTCAAAACAACCCATTTACTAATAAAAGTCTTTTCAAAATCATTTTTTCCAAAACATTATTTAAAACCAAAGTCTTCCAAGATTCAAGCTATCGTAAAACCAAGGGTGTGTACAGTCACGCCTTTGCCTTGTCACGGTCCTCCTAACTACCTGAAACCATAAACCTAAATTGTAAGCATGAAGCTTACTAAGTTCCTGCAAAATACCACAGTAAAAACAAATCACATACACAAACACTCATGATGGCTCAATCAGCCTCGGGTTGGAATACCATACATGTCTACGATGGGTCCAGTCATCCTTGGGATGGAAAATGTCTTATCATAAGCATGTTTGGTCTAATTAACCATAGGGTTGAAATACCAAAACATGTCGGGTCTAATCAACCATCGGGTTGGAATACCCCTGGCTTGTTGACTGATACACGAAGTTGTCCAGTCTTACCATATACCATATCAAGCATATCGATTCCAATCAACCATCGGGTTGGAATACCCCAGTATACTATGAGTCCAGTTAACCATCGAGTTGGAATAGCCCAGGACCACTCAACCATCGGGTTGGAATGCCAATCTACAACAGGTCATGTCATCCTTGAGATGGAATATCCTTGGGACCAATCAACCATTGGGTTGGTATGCCCCCGGCCTATTGTCTTACGCACAAAGTAGTAAAGCCCCAATCACTAACAATGTGTGACCATATAATAGAAAAACATATAAACTGTCTACAGACAGTCATACAAATCTACAGATCACTAAGCATAACATCATTTTATATACCAGGATACTGATCTAACATATCACTACATCTCGATGACATACTATCACATAACAGGATATCAAATCCAAAGGGCTGACCTTGGTGTCTTCGACCTGCAAGTACAGTGAGGAAAACTCACATCAATCCGCTGATAATCAAATGCATGTTCGGGTTACTGAACTGGATAACCTCACACCAACTAATAAAATACAATCTTAATCAATAATTATCCTGATAATTTAAAATCTGAGGCCCACTCCGTAAACCAACTTCCTAAAGGGTAAAAGACCATTTTACCCTTTTCTTATTTGGCCCAAGACCAAGGCCCAACCCAATCACACAAATGCTCAATATGTCAACTCAAAGCCTAAAATGGCCCAACAAGGCCCAAAACCACATCTCACGTCATGACCAGTCCTGGCCACATCGTGAGAGTTCAACGGGACCAAGGAAAACTCAACGGGGCTGCCCTCACGTCGTGAGAAGCCTTATCATGTCATGAGCCTCAATCAAATAACCAGAAACGGGACCAAACGATTCTCACGTCGTGAGACCTTGTGACTCACATCGTGAGAATAGTCTAAGGCTAATAATCCAACATTTTAGTCCTTAATGCATTAAGCTTTCAATCCTAGTTCTTCTAGAAGCTAACAAGGACTCGAAATGTCACTAAAAACGATTACTTGATGGACATGCATGCCCGAAGCATGACCTAAACCCATCTTAGGTCAAAATGACAAGAAATGCACCCAAACTAAAACAAGATTCATAAATTATAACCATTCTTCAGATCCATAAGACTAAATCACAGAGAATGACGCATTGATCCATAAAGTTGCCAACTTTTTGGATCCCAGGCATGCAATCCATCATAAATATGCAAAAGGGAGCTTAGAACTTAGATCTAGCAATTTGAGCTCATAAAGATTGGATCTTAGACACTTACAATGGTCCAAAATGATGAAGCCTCCTTGCTGAACTAACACTCTAGAACTTCTCCTTCTTCTTCTTCTAGCCACCAAAACACTAAAATGGATTCAAACTCACCAAGATGGATTAAGGTTAGGGTTTTTTCTAAGTTAGGGGAAGGTGGAGGCAGAGAAATGAACCCTAAAATCGAGTTAAGGGGGCTTAAATACGTGGGAAACCCTAAAATTTCGTGGGCTTGGGCTATAGCGAATCTCACGTAGTGAGCTCTTATAGCTCACGTCTTGAGCTCAGTCCCAAATAGAATTTTCATGCGGCCCTCCTCAGGTTGTGAGCCTCCATTCCTCACGTTGTGAGGACCCCTATTTTCCAAAAGTCCAACCTTTTTACCCTCTAAAAGCCTAATTTGATTCATCCAAGAAAACGGATGTTACACAAACCTTCAACAAGAAACCATTTTAAACCATGAAAACAAGGAACCAATCTTGACCGTTTGAAAGAAAATGATCAATGGGCAAAACGGGATGCACATTAAGAGATTTAACGCACATGCACTGGGTCATAACAAAAAAAAACCCACTTTTTCGTTTTTTATGGCTATTATTGTATCAAAAAAAAATATACTAAAATTCAAGGTTCTAAATGGCATGAGGTTTGGCGTGGCGGCAAGGTCAAGCCTCAAGTTTAACGAGCCATGACATTTTTCAAGACGTGATATAAGGCAGTAATTTTTTAATAATTTATAATTATATTACCATATAAATATAAGTTTATATTAAATATAACTACTTTTTAGAAGTGTTATATCAATAACTAATAACAAAAAATTAATAAAAAAACACAATATTTGTATCCCCGATTAGAAAAGACATAACAAATAGCAAAAACCATGTCTCCAACGAAAACGTGCGTCATAATACGCCATAACGTACCATGTCACGTCATATCACGTATTGACACGTGTTACGCCTAACAACAACGTTATGAAATTTTTCGTAACGGCGAAGCCACGCCTCATGCATTGGCACACGCCATGACGCGTCTTTTAGAACACTGTCGAAATTCATAATTTTTTATCATCTTTCCATAGATATCAATGATATACAAATAATGAAAATTTTGTTTTATTTCAAAAAAGATCACTTCGTTTATTAGTTTTTTTAATATTTATGTTTGTTTTTTATTAAAAAAAATAAAATAAATACATCAAAATTCGTAGTTGTTAGTAGTGTGAATAATAATAAATCAAATTCATATTGTCAATCTTTGAAAATTGAATTATATGCACTTCATATTCACAATGTGATCTAATTTAGTTGTGAATTTTACAAAACTAATTTATAAGTAATCAAAACATTAAAATATTGTAAAACTACAAGGAAATATATTTTGATTGACATGTATATTTCATTATATTAATTTTTGAATTATCAAAAATGATGAAGTAGTAAGACAAATTCACATTTTAAATGCCAAAAACAAAATTACATGTAGATCAGATTCACAGTACGAATCTACTGTGAATCTAATTCACAATGTGAATCTAATTTACAGTGCGAATTAACTGTGAATCTGACCTTTAAAGTGAAAAAATATATATATATATATATATATATATATATTTACATTGATTTCAATGTCTATTTAAAGAGTATACAAAAATATGAATTTTGATATATTTATTTTATTTTATTCGAAAAAAATTAAGTGTAAATATTAAAAATAATAATAATGATAAACTGATGTGAGTTTTTTTTTTAAGAAATAAAAATTTCGTTTTTTATATATCAATAAAAAGGTTTATGAAAGAAGGATAAAAAAAATGATTAGAGCATCCATCCACGATATTCAAATAAATTCTATAAAGCATAAAAAAATTATTGTAAGGGCTTTTCATTTCAAAACTTTTTCATGTAGTTTGAAAATGTACAAGCTAAATCAATAGAGTTTTATTTATTTATTTATTTATTTTGTATATTTTTAGTATTGGTTTAATTAGCACTCTATAAACTGATATAGTATAACCCATAAATAAGCTTGTAGAAATGTTTTGCTACAATGAAAGTTTGTCAAACTTTGTTGTTTATTGATAATTTGATAGTGACACCAAAAAAGGTTATTAAAAAAATCTCCATTTGTGTTACTATTAGCCAGTTATTTTTCATAATTATAAGAAAATAATGAGATACATAATTAATAAACTAAAAGACTTTTACTTTAAGTCTTTAACGGTATATGATGTTTACACCTTTTTTTTTTAAAATGGTGGGTTTATGAGACATATGGAAGTTTGAATAGTTTAAGGAATCACCAAAAGTCAGATTTAAAGGAAAAAAAAAATAAAGAAAAGAAAAAAGAAAAAAAGGGGGCTGGTGTACGTTTTCCCTGGGTGATTGATGTTTACCCGCTCGACTCTCCTACCCCATTTTGCGTTTTCAACTTGACTCCTAGTCCTATCGATCCCACGATTATTTCCCTATAAATACCATTATATTAATCTCTCTTTCTTCCTCACATACAGAAAGATGGCGATTAGCGATGACGAAGTTGCTATGGCGACAGTGGCACCATTGGCACCAGTCACATTTCAACGACCTGTTCGGAGTGACCTTGAAGAATTCTTTCCTAAGCCCTGTAAGTTCTTATACCTTCATGATTGATGAATTAATTTTTCTTTAACTCAACTGATTAATTAATTAACTATGGTTTTCTCAAAAGACATGGCTAGAGCTATGGCTGCACCAGACACGGAGCATCCCGATGGCACACCAGATCACAAAGCTGCTGGCATGAGTGTCCTCCAGCAACATGTCGCTTTCTTTGATCAAAACGACGATGGCATTGTTTATCCTTGGGAGACTTACACCGGTAAACACCAAATAAAACCAACTTAATTCCCGAATGTTTGATTTGAATATTATATATATAACGATAACGATGCTCTAAACTCTTTAAGGGCTTCGAGATATTGGGTTGAATGTAATCTTCGCTGCAATCGTGGGATTAGCTTTCAATGTAGTATTTAGTTACCCTACCCGCAAAGTAAGTTGATGTTTAGTCTATATGCTTTCAATCATGTTATCAACTACATGCAAAGTGAGGCTCATGTACACCTTTACGTATTCTGAATGTTGTTGTTTGGCTGAAGGGTTCCCTTCCGAATTTGCTGCTTCCAGTTTACATAGAAAACGTACACAAAGGCAAGCATCCAAGTGATTCGGGAACATATGATACTGAAGGAAGGTGTGTAGTACGTTACTCTCAAAAAAGAAAATAATAATAATATAATACTGACCCCAAATCAGATCAATATACTATATATAACATAATAATAAGTTTTTTTTAGGTATCTTCCTGTTAACTTCGAGAATATGTTTAGCAAATATGGAAAAACATTCCCAGATAAGCTAACATTGAAAGAGTTATGGAATATGACAGAAGGAAATCAGACTTCATTCGACCTTCTGGGATGGTTTGTGCTTGGATCACATTAAACAAAATCATTTTGTGCATTTTAATTAAATCGAGTGTGTATTAAATATATGTGTTCGATGTCATCATGTCAAGCAGGATATTAGAAAAGGTGGAATGGGCGCTTGTATACCTTATAGCTAAAGACGACGAAGGTTGCCTTTCAAAAGAAGCCATGAGAGGTCTCTTTGATGGTAGTCTCTTCGAGAAACTTGCCAAAGCGAATAAAAAGACGGATTAAAAGCCATCATGTCCTTATGCCAAATTAAATAAAATTGTACTCAGCTACAAAACCGTTGGTATCATTATATTTATGCAATCTACCTATGTGAAGTGGACAATTCCTTATCTATTCCTTATTTATGTAATTCACTAATTACAAGACACGAGATATTTAATTTATTATTTAAGTAAACTATCTTTTCTTTGTTGCACTATTTTAGGAAGATGATCAAATAATTTAATCTTAAATATTACTAAAAGAGAAACTTTATGATATCATCTTAAATAATCTGGATCATTGATTGTATTTCAATCTCATTTTTTCCACCCTTAGATCAAATTGCTGACATCATCTTCCCCATATGGAATGTATTTAATTCCAATAAATGATTTTCAATCATCAATCAATAATTTACATTCGTTGAAATGGAATGTATTTAATTCCAATAAAAACTTTCCATATTTTACATCTTGAATTTTCAGTTATGAAGATTTTAATATGATCAATTTTAAAAATATATTACTAACAAATCATTTCAAATAAAGCCTTAATATCAACCATTAATATAAATCCATTTATATTAGTAAGGGTAAATTACACGAACGATCCCTATGGTTTAGGGTAATTTGCGTGTTTGGTCCCTAACTTATTTTTCTAACTCGGAAGGTCCCTACTTTTTTATCTTCGTATAGTAACAATAAAGTTTATTAATTTACACAACAAATATAGATATTTCAAATTTTGTAATATTATTATACCTTACAGAATACAACTCCTTCCAAAATAAATTTTCATCAGTAATTTCATCCATAATTTCAACAAATTTAAATTTGTATTTTCTTTATATAATATTTTTTAATGATCCTGATTTTTTTTTCTCCAAAAGTATATCAAACATTTACGTTTTAGATAATGCTGCCCTATTATAATTATTATTTTCCAAAAGTATATCCATTTAATGAGGAATTTGATATAATAAAGGAAGTGAATGTTAATTAAAATGAGATATATATATTCCATAATTATTACATGAGTTTATTAAAAAAATTAATATCAAGGTGTAAACATTAAACATTTTGAAAGTGAAATTTCAGAATACATACAAACGATAATGTTGTACAATGAAATATAAAAGTGAATAGACTAAAAAAAACACTATTAAAGCAGTCAATCTTGAAAATAACATAGTTATGAAAAATTATAAAGTAAGATTAAAATTATAAGATATTAGGAGATTTGTAAATAGTACATTTAGTAAAAGCGTTACGGTTATTAGAAAAAATAAGAACGTTAAGATTACTGAAAATACAATATATAAACTAAATTATCACAATAGTAATGAAATGTGATTATTTGATATTTCATATAATTGACAGATATATCAAATTAAATTAATATACTAAAATTATTCAAAGTTGCGCCAAAGCTAATGCAAAATTTTTACGAACACTAAATAAATAAGAACAAACATAAAAGCTAGCATTTATATTTATAATCAATTTAAAATAAACCAATCATGATTTAGAAAAGAATCTCCATTGATGATATACTAAAATTAAATCTATATAACATTTAACATTTTATAAATTATATTACATAACTTTATTTGAATAAATGAAATAGTTGTTAATATTTAATGCAATAGAAAAAACGGTATATTGATTGTCAATATATGTTTAAATTAGTTAACATTATTATGCAATGAACGTCTAATTAAAATGCTTATAAATATATAAATATTATAACTATATAAGACGAGGAAAATCGTTCAACTAATAAAACAAAAAAATGATGTCTACAAAGAGTTCTTTCAATGATTATATATATTTATCGTTTTCAATGTATTTTCTACATATTTCAATAATACCAATAACCATATATTTTTTTAATAATCATTATACAATATCTATAAACGATTATATGTTTTTTTATGTATTTCCCGCGTTTAACGCGGGCTATAATCTAGTTAATAAACGAAAGAAAGATTATTTAATATATTAATGAAAAAAGAAATCATTTGTTACGCAATTATTGGGAAATCTCCAATAATGTTAAAAAAAATTAGCTCAGTTTACGTTTTAATCTTAAGTTAATTTTATTTTATTTTTTACGAAAAAATCTTAAAAACCATCAAAAATTTGCATTTTGACCGTTGAAACCGATAATAAATTAATTTGGGACTATTTCGTAAATTGACTCAAAATATTGTGATTTTACTGTAAACAAAATATTATGACTTTTATACAAACAAAAACCTTATTATTATTATCATTATTTTATTAAAAATATAAACAAGTATATTATTTTTTAAAGTTCATTATTAATAATATTGTTAATAATACATATAAAATCATTTAAATGAAGAAAAAAATATGTTAAAGACATTTTTTAAGGGTGGAAATGGAAGGAATGGTGATGCTTTAAACATTGAAATTATAAATGTGTGCTTATATATTCTTACTTTGTATATGACTATTTCATATTTGTTATTATTGTTTCAACTCAGAATTTTAACACTTCAAATTTTAAAAGAAATTGTCCATTTGTAAACTAATTTATAAATAGTTTAGATAAAAGGATTTCTTACTTTTTATATAAAATTGTTTAAGATAGAAGAATGTCTTTTCGAATCCACTATATCCACTACAAACATCTACATAGGTAGTCATATCAAAATTCAGAAGTATTAATTACAATATCTTGTTTAATAAAAAAATAATATGATATATTTTGCTTTATCACACTACATCTACTATGTTTACAAAAAAAATCATAGGAATAAAATAATAAAAAAGGGCAACAAACATGATGGTAATGCATATACTTACACACAAGATATACACACATAGCACATGTTGACATATTAATATATGTGGTAGCAACTTAATCATAATCTTGATCTAATCTCACTTGTGGACCCAAATTCAATTCAAAAATATATATATATATATATATATATATATATATATATATATATATATATATATATATATAAAATGTTCCATTACAAGTTAAGAATGATAAACAAAAAATTAAGAATTTAATGATAATATTTATAGTCCATGACACAAAATCACTATTTATAAACAATTTTAGAAATAGATAATTTCTTTTAAATTGTTAAGTATTAATATTCATAATTAAAAACAATAACAAATGTGAAATGACCATATACAAAGTAAGACTATACAAACAGACATTCATGATTTCAATGCTTAAAGCATCACCATCCCTTCCACCTTTACGCTTAAAAAATATTTTTAATTTTCTTTTCTCATCTAAACGTATTTATATGTAATATTAATAATAACGAATTTAAAAAATAGTTTATATATTTATATTTCTAATAATAATAATAATAATAATAATAATAATAATAATAATAAAGTTTTTGTTTACAGAAAAATCCTAATATTTTTATTGTAGAAAAGTATCAATATTTTGGATCATATTACGAAATACTCCCAAATTAATTTGTTATCGGTTCCAACCGGTCAAAAATATCAAAAATCAAACTGTTGTTGGCTTTTAGAACTTTTTCGTAAGTAAATAATAATTTATGATTAAAAAGTAAACTATGCCAAAATTTGGAACTTTATTAGAGATTTCTTGACAATTATTAACTGGAAAAAATCGATAATATTAGTGAGACATAGTCAATTATTATTCAAATAATAAAATATTGTAATGGAAACCGGCCAAGTGATGTCGGATTGATATAAGGTTGGTTGGTCTGCTCTCTTACTACCTTTCATTTTTTTTATTTGACGATTCATTATTATGTCATTTTTTTAATACCTTTCTCTCACCTTATGAAATACATACCTCTCATTTATTTCAATCCTTTCAATCTCCTCACTTTTCTTAATATCCAAATATATAAAAACTAGTTTATAACTCGTGGGAATTACAATTTTGAAATTAATTAAACTTTCATACTAAAAACTCAAAATTATTAATCAATTATTTTAAATAAATTATTAATTAAGATATATTTTTTTAATTATATAAAATTATAATCATTGATTTAAATAAATATTTGACCTTATAATTTGTATTAATTTTATTTTAATTTTTATTCTAATGTTATTAATTAGTGTAATTATAATAGAAAATTTGAAATTTGAAATTTGAAATGGAAAATCAATAGGTTGACAAGTAGCATGATATTAATTAAGATACCTAATAGGATGATACATGACAAAACGAGAATAAACATATTCTTTTGTTAGAATATGGAGATAACTTATCAATATTATACTTTATTTATGAAGAATTAAAAACAATGAATTTTGATATAATGTTCATATTAAAAAAATATGTATATAATTTAATAAAAAAATTAAACAAGTTTAAAAAAGAAAAAAATAATAAAAGAAAGAAGGATGTGGAGAAATTGAGTCACGCGGGAGATCACTACACCACCACTTGGTGGTCACCACACCACTACAATGATAGATTACCTCACTATAGTGTCAAATAAAAGTACTCCTACCAAACTAAGGGTGGACATCGTGGCAAGCGGATTAAAGGAGGGAGGCGGCACTACTGCCAATGGTGTTTTGTAGGTTCTTCAACCCATTAAGAAATGCATCTTCTTTATCTTTCTCTTCTCTCTATTTATCCTTTCTTTCTTTTTCTTTTTATTCACACACACACACATATATATATATATATATATATATATATATATATATATATATATATATATATGAATTAAAATATGTTATGTTTTATTTTATTTTTAGTTTTAGAATTCAATTATAATAACAATAGTGATATGGTAAGTGTGTTGGGAAATGTATCATTTACAAATGTTGTGGTTTTTGAAAGATTTAAGTGAAAGAAAAGAAAAAAGTTAATGCAAAGTTGATATGGCAGTGAATTTAATGGGTTGGAAGAAATCCGTTCCCTCTACCCTAACAGTTGAATCAATCACCGAGTGAACTCCGATATTTAAAGTATCAATTTTTTTATAGAATATAATATAAAAATTTTAAAACTTTGATACAAATGATAATAATAATAATAATAATAATAATAATAATAATAATAATAATAATAATTGAACATAAACTTGAATATAAACTTATAGAGTAATGCGTAGCTTTAGGAACATGTGTGAGTCGGTCACACGGTGGGTGATAGGGGTGATAACCTAGGTCCTATCGTTCCAATGGACCCAAAAAAATTCCTTAGTTATGTAATTTTAGTATATAATAATTAGTCTATTTTAAATAAAAATAAGATAATTGTTTTTTAACAGCCAGTTAGTGGTTGGAAGTTAGTATCACCAAGTTAGTAAAAGTCACTAACGCCCATACTAGAACTCGGGACCTCCAATCTAAGAGGCAAAGTGTATACCAAGTGGGCTAGTCCATATTGGGAAGAAAAAATAAGAT